GAACAGCTACCTGGTCGAACTGGAGTCCTCTCGACGCCTTATGCAACGGGACGCCGTGGCAGCAGTCCGGGATGAAGTCCAAGCGAGGTTGGATGAGTGTCAAGAGAGATGGAACAAGTGACTCCTGGAGTACCAAGAATCTCAAGAGGGGGCTTTCCAGCTGAAGGCCACCAGTGCTCTTCAAGCGAAAGACCGGGAGATTGCGGCGATGCCACGGGACTGTAGTGAACGCATGCTGGCTGTTCAAGACGAAGCAAACCGATCGGCGGGGATTCGTCAAGAGCGGGTGGAGGCGTTGGAACGCCAACACCGGGACGATGTGTGTGCTCTCCAAGCTCAAACGGCACAGGAGCAGCAGTCTCTCCTGGAGGAATACAGTAAACGACAAGTGCTCCGCGCGGCGGAGAACGCTGAGTTGGTGAAAAAGAAGGACTATGAGCTGAAGGCGTTATGTCAAGAAGTGATGCGCTACGAAAGTCAACTGGAGAAGGCAAAATAGGCGACACTGGAGTGACGAAATCTGGCCGAAGAAAGAGAACAGGCCTGCCCCAACTGCGTCCGGTTGGAACAAGACATTCTGGTCCTACAAAGCCAGTCGATGAGGTTGCAAGATGAGGTGCAGAATCTCTCGACTCAGTTGGAACGGTCCACGACATCCCGTATCGAAGCTGAAGCCTACCGACAACGGGAGGTAAAGTCCTTGAAGAGCGAATGTCACGGCCTGACGAAGGCCCTCGCCGAAAGCCAGGACGTGGTGAAGGAGCTGGAAATGGAGCTCGACGTGATGTATGGAAGCTTCACCGTCCGGGAGCGACCTGGCGGCGATCCGGGGGTTCCAAGAAGCGAAAGCCAGTTGTCCTCGGCACAAGCAGCTTTGGAGGTAGAACGAGCGGCTTTGGCCGAGTCCGTTCGAACGCACCGGCTCGATAAGGGAGTATTGGAGGCATCCAAGAAGTCTTCCGGGAACAGGAGGTCAAGGGTGAAGCCGGCCGACGAACTCAAGAACTTGCCCTGGCGGAACTACGTAATGAATTGGAGAAGACGCAAGCTCGAAAAGAAGTCGAAAGGCGGGAGTTGAACGAATCCGGGTCGACGCCAATCGAGCCAACCCCTTCCTGGCGAACCCGACTCTGGACCCTAAACTGGCCCCGTACGGAGCGCCCACGACAGCCCCGTTGGTCTCCTTCGCGACTCCCGTTGGTGCGCCAGTTTATGGAGTCAACCCTTTTATCGGTGTGGACAAGGGCTCTCACCCTGTTCCCAGCGTCGCCCAAGAAGTCGTCCCGCATCATGTACCTGGCAGTACGGGATGGAGCCGAGGACCTCTCGACACTCTCGTGTATGGAGTTGAAATTCCAACGCCACCGGTCCCGTTTTCACCTCCTCCGCGGTCGAACCTCGCCGAAGTATCTCAGCTACGAGGGTATCCCACACCCGCCAGTCAAGGACACCAGGGGGTGCGATGGCTGGTGGCTACGGTGGAGACCCTTCTCCCGATCGGGGAGGAGGCGGAGGCCCTGGAGGGCGTGATTATCCCGGACCTGATTATGGAAGCGGCTCACGACGACTACCGGGATACGGAGGACAAGGGGGAGGTCCCCCTAGCGACCCACCCGGAGGTGGCGACTATGGGAGCGGACCTTCGCAGTACCTCCCGAATCCGCCAATAGTTGGGGGTGCGGAACGTAACCTCAACCGCCTAGCATTCGCTGATGCGCCCAAGCTGCACTGCGCCGATCGGGGGATTCCGTTGGAGCATTTCCTAAATAAGTTCAACGCCCTAAAAGGCAAGTATGACATCACGGACGCCCAAGTGGTTCGAATCTTCGACGACCGCCTGACGTTGTGCGGCGTGCGCTCGTGTTGTGATTTCTGCCCATAGGCTCACGTTCATTGGTAGCAAGGAATGCCTGAACCGACCGATGGCACGAAGAATAGTCCTTGGGACTGTTCTCATTGACAGAGAGTACGCCTGTATCCACGACATCCTTGGCAACAGTTCTTGTTCGTGTAACACACCGGTCCCGAATGAACTTACGGACCATGCAACGAAAATGTCGAGTATATAGCACACGAGAGGAATGCTTTGAAGTGTTTGACGAAGGAGGTTTGACCGAGACTTCGCCATGCCGGAGAAATTCGGCAAGGACGTTCTTCACAATATTTGTGCTGCAGCCAAGGAGACTAGCAATTGCACCGGCAACGTCAACGACATGAGCTTCTCGTAAAGTTGCTTGAAGCACGAGAATATCTAGCTTCTCGTGGTACGTGAGGCTACGCCCTCGGCGCTGCTTGACAAAGACTTTTATTCGCTGGATGACCTCAATGTCCATAGAAAATGGTTTTTTGCCCTTAACTTCCACAGTATTGGAGTTTCATTCGACAAGCGAACGATTGGCCTTGCGCGTGCGGTAATTTTGGTACCGGTTTCGTGCAAAACGGAGTAGAAATGACGAAGATAGAGCGATTTTTCCATTTCTGGGCATCCATTTATTGTATTGGAATATAGAGGTTTTATTGTTTCCGAAATTTTTTATTGCTGCTCCTCAGGTTAACTTTCAATTACACAGTTTACTAGCTTACACGTCCGAAATTAGCCTAGTTTGAGCACGATAAGCGAGTATATTTTGAATTGCATTGTGTTCTGGAGTTTTCTGTTGGGAGCATTTTATTCAACACATTATATCAATTCGAACGATAAAATATGACGGAATTTGACCTACCCAGTCCCAAGTAACACTCGTTGGTGCTCTCGATGCTCTCACGGACAGTAAATTTGTAGCGCTTCTGATTGGTGCATATAAATTCTCCTGATTATAGCCAATCAACTTGAACAAAGCCGCGTAATTAAATAAACTCGATTTTTTTCCGCTTCCATGCATTTCAGGATGAAAGCATGTCGGCTTTTTCCGGGGTTCACTGTGATATCATTGTTTGTGGCTATTAGGGACTGGGTGAGCGGTACAGCCACGCATGCGAATTCCACTCCTTTGAAGCTGTATGTCGTCGTGTGCTCGGTCGGTTCTTCATTGTTGTGGTAGCCTTCTAATTCTG